ACCAGTGGGGATTTACCAGCTTTGCACTGGCCCCACTCACTATTATCCCAGTAAACTTCAATATTCCTTTCGGTGACATATTAAACTCACGTTGGATTTCTACTGACGCCGCGCCAAATTGATTAAACTCTAACAACACTGCATCTACAAAATATCCTAGCTGCTGTTGCTATTGCTGCTGCACGTCTCCTTTGCACTTTCAAGCAAAGAGAAAAAGCACCGGATTGGGTTGTTTGTTTCTGAAAATGAGAGAGAAAATGCAACGCCACAAAAGAAAATTGAATCAAAATGGAAAATGTTGGATGCAATTTCACATATATTATAAACAAAGCGCAGCTCGGGAAATTGCTGTTTTCATATTTGCACGTATGGGTCTGTTGCATGCATATACATTTTCATTTGATGCACATTAGCATGTGAATGTTTACTATGTTCCAGCTATTCTCAATTATAATGAATTAACTGTAGTTTGTAGATACAAGATCCATTTCATATAAAAGTAATATATTTTGTAAAACTGTTACGGTTTGCTAAATATTCCTTTACATTTTAGTTTGATGATGAAATCAATATATTTACAATATTATTTATAACTAATTAGATAACATAATTATAAATATCTTACAATAAGTAAATTGTAGTAAATATACGAACAATAAATATACAAAAAGTTACATCAAAAATATTGAATGAAGACCTAAGGTTAGTATTTGTTTGTAACGCATTTGTCCAATTTATTTTTATTTTTTAAGTAAATGTGATTTAGGAAGAAAGTTTTCTGTGTTCGATAAAAGTCAATACAGCAATACCTCGCATAATCTGGTTTAAAACCAGACTAATTGAAGATTTAAATAAAGTTAAATATAAAATAATAGACTGTATAAAGCGAAAAACCGATCATTTATGTATAAAAAAATAATTTTGTGTAATAATTTTGTAGAATTTATTTTTCTTAATTAAAATCGACTAGACTAGACTAATCGAAACCGGACTATGCGAGGTATTGCTGTTTGTAATAATGGAACTATAATATTTTATATATTTGATTGTACATAATTATTATATAATAATCTTCAATGTATGATAGAAACGTAACACAGTTTGTTCAACCCTCTCAAAATAATAATAAATGTAAGAAGAAAATAGTGCAAGCAGTTTATTCTTGAATATTACATCATGTCTATTCTTTTGCAAATTATTGAAAATCACTTCGCGCCGAAACATATTGAATTGCTTTGTGCCATAGTTTGTCTTTGAAACATAAATCTCAAAGCTTCTTCTTGCTTTGTAGAAGTATACACCAGATACTTTCAAGAGGTTATTTTACTATGGAAAGTACACTATTGCAAAAGCTAAACAACAAATTAAAATAATTGGTAAAAAATAATGAAATATTCAATTTACTAAGTGGTAAATAATTATTCATTGCTTTTATGGATTTGATATATCCTTATAGTATCCTTTCATTCTTCTAAGAAAAAACTATTTGATTATAATTTGTTATAACATTTATATCTAAATTATATAAATTATTATGGTAAATTAAGCATTTTTGTTAAATACATTAATTACAAAGCGTTTAAGTTCTAAAGCAATAAAATCATACTTGTAATTCGACAACTATTATTTGACTTTTAGATGTAATTATTGAATCAACAATTTTGTAAATGATTCTATTTACATTACTATTTTCTTTTGCATAATATTCCTCTAAGTCTTCGCATTTTTTATTTACGAAATTAATGATCTTCATTTCTATTATAATAGAGATAAAAGTTTGTTTTTAGCAAAAAAGAAAGTGAAAATCTGCAAATTGCACTTCAATGTATTAATGTGGAACAATGCAGAAATTAATGGAATGAATTTGAAAAATAGTCGGCCAACTTAAAAGAACGGAAACTGGGGTAGGAGTGTTGCAAAAAAAAGAATGTATGTAATGTGGAGCGCGAGGAATCTCGCAAAAATTGTGTAAACGATGTAAAATCCTCTTTAGCATTCATTATATTAAAATGTGAATCATTGCCGTGATAAGATTTGATTCGGGGTTAAAGGGAAAACGGAGCGAGAGAAAGAGAGCGTGTGTGAGAGAGAGTGAGACAAAGACAGAGGAAAGCTATGTGCAGGGGCATAATGCGAAACCATTAATCATTTCCACTGTTCCGACCATTTCCTGTGCACCCTCTCTTTCTCTCTTTTTCACCCGGACGCCCTCGCCGTCTGGGCCCCATGGCCACGGTTTTAACGAAAATATGATTCACCCTTTTTCCAATTTCGCCCCGGGAATTATGTTCGTCGCAAAGGCGATAAGCTTCTGGTTTGGGAACACAGAGTGACACACAAGTGTCGGATTACTGTGACTGCAACTTCCATCATCATATCAACAAATGATAATACATATCATATTTTCTATTAAGAAAAAAAAAGTACTATTTCAGTAAATACTGTACGTTTATCTGGCTGTAAATTTTAATAAAGTATTTTAGTAAAAGTTTGTAGATAGGTACATGTACCGGTTTATTTGCACATTAGCAGCTTCGTTGGTAAATGTGAGTTTAACTTACATTTACCCAGAATTTCCGGAAAATGTTTACATATACTGAATGATGTGTATAGGTTTACGTTAACATGCGGCGCTCAATTTTTATCTATTGATGATGTACCGAATATTGAAATATCACTAAGTGAGGTTATTGCTAAGGAATTTCTAACTGGAGGACAAGGATTTAAGAAATGCAACTGCAAAAAAAAGGAGAGAAAATAAAATGTTGCTGCAAAGTAACTAAAGTGTTGTGTACATTTACCGATTTACCTTAATTTAAGTTACATAAATTTCCAGTCGGTAAGCGAATGTACGTTAATCGAATGGTTAATTTTAATATAAATATATGCATTAAATAAACTTCAATTAATGTACATGATGTATACATTTCCAGTCAATAAACAAATGTACATTAATTGGACAGTGAATTTCAATATAAATATATACATTGACGATTATTTGTTACAAGTACAGTTTGCTATTAGATGTTATTGTTTGGTTTGGTCAGACAAACGTAATAAATTATGTACGTAAAATTGAACATACATCAAAAACATTAATCTAGTTTATGGTTGTTAATGACATAATTTGAATATATGTAATAATAGTTTTATACAATTACTTCTTCAAACAATAGACTGTATTTTTTATTGTTTGTGGTTGATCAGAATGATTAATTATTATTGTATTAAATCATTTGTATTTTACGCAAATACTATTTTAAAAATCCGACATTACCAAAGGTTTCCACTCACCGATCTAATTATAATTCATTATAAATCTTGTTTAACTTTTCTACGTTGTTGCAAGTAAATTTAGTATATTTTCCAATGTTTTATTAAAATAAATGATGATTATTATTGAAATTCATATTGATATTTATATGAATAAATTCATTGGGATGATAGACGTATATAATGTTCTTTATGAGGAACCCAGTAAATTTAAAATTAAGAATCCTTGGGTATATTTGGTAAAAAGTTTTAATGAAACCTGTGGAGATTTACGCTGTAAAAAGTTATTACGAAGAAGTAAGTTTTACCTCTCTCCTTCTCTTTTTCTCCTAGGTTCCCTTCTGGTTTGAAATCCCGACGACTTAATAACATTTTAAATAAAAAAACAGGATTAACTCTTTATGCTCGGATTTACTATATTGCTGCAACTCACTCAAGTGGAAATTATTTCTCAATGAATTGTTATTAATTGTATGACTTAAATACACACAGCAACTTATATTTTCATTTAATAACATAATAATATTATTTTATTAGTATAACAAATCTAATTTTAATTGTTCTTTAGTTATATATACCCAAAGGAACATATAAATCCAAGATAATGCAAACCAGTTGTTTTACTTAATAAGTTCAGTTGAATTAAACTTCCATTGACGATCCTCGCGGAGGGTTTTAACTTAGATCTCTTTAGCATTAAAATATACAGGAAAACGCATTGTGGCGTATGTAGGCCTCCCCAACAAATTGTTCAATATTAATCCTGGCTTTAAGCTGAGGAAACGTTCTCGTAGGCATATAAAGCCGACGTTTCGGAAAGTCAAAGGAAGAATGCTCATTTGCATTGAATTCAATTTCTTGGGTTTCTCGATCTCCTTGAATTAAAACTGTACGAAAGGAAAATGTACTCGGGGAAGAAGCCACGCAAATAGTTTACTTTCGAAGCGACGGTTCTCGAACTACTTAATTGAAATCTAAATATCAATGACATGGAAAATCTAAAACCCCTGCTGGAACTTGTTTTTAACTTTTATTGCTGTAAAGAAGTACTATTTGAAAGCATCCTCATTTTTAATTTAATCGTAGATTTTCTTTTAACAAGATTCATAATAAAAATCTATATATTTTATTACTTTTAATATTATTTATTTTAATTATAGTTTACATTTGTTATTATTACTTAAATGTTTAAAGATGTAACATTAAAACAAATTATATATATTTCTAGCATTATTATATGATTCAAATTTCAGAAGTTTGGTGCTAACTATATATTTTTTGTAAGACAGTCAACAGAAAAAAATAGTTTTATATTTAGTATTAATATATAACAATTTACATTTAAAATTTATATAATGATAGCAATATCAATTTCACATATAATTTATACATTCCTAACATATGGCAATAGGTTTTTTAAGATATATTTTATTGTAAAAATATTACATAATTTATGTTTTTTCTAATATGAAATTTAAAAAAATATAACTTTATTATGAGTTTTGTAATACTATATAATGATTTTTTTGCATGTTTTACCTTTTTCTATATATATTTCATAGTAATAACGATTCATAAAGTACATCAATTTCAGACAAAAATTGTGCAGTAAAATAAGTATTTTTTCTTGTACGAAGCCAATAAACAACAACAAAAAACGAAAGTGTATAGCCTTATATTTATGTTTACTGTTACTATTACGTAATATTATGTGACTATTGTTCTAGCGTTATTGCTGGGAGCGGGGTTGGTGTTGTTCGCATCAGCATTATCCGAGACCCTGCTGGAAGCCACTCAGTACCATAAGGAATCGCTCGCAGGACCAAGTTACGATTACCGTTACGGTTGGTGTTTTTTTACTGCCGGTGCAGCGTTCGTAATGACGAAAATGGCAGCAGTTTTCTCCCTAACCGGATATCTCAATAGATTCCCGTCAGTTGATGAGATGGTAAGTGCATCCTCTTTCTTCCCTTATCTCTAGACCTCCGCCACTAGAAAATAATCATCACCTATTCCTGGCAATCCGCCTTCAATTTTCTGATTACACCTTATCTATTACTAACTACAAAAATACTATAAAAAAAATACATTAAATATGTTTAATAAAATGAGACAACTGAAATATACAACAACTACTATTGATTTTTTAGTAGTTGAAATCTAAACCGAAAAAAGTTGAAGGAATTACTTGAAACTATATTTATTTTAATATGCCTTGATTATATTAAAAAAAAACGAACTAACAAGAAATATAATGCATTGGAAAAGTTTTGCTAAATAGTACTTTTTTAATACGCTTCACTTCAATATATTAACTATTGCTAATTAAATAATAAAATGAGACAACTGAAATATACCAGAATTCCTATAGATATTTTTAAAATTGTAAATTTACACAGTTTACTTATTTTGCCTGCAGCTAATTAAATATTAAAACGGGATAACTGAAATATGAAAAAAAAAACAATGTTCATTTTTTAATACGTCTTCACTTCTTTGATTACAAGTTACCTATTGCTAACTAACAGAATACATTGAAGCTATATAATAAAAAGAGACAACTCAAAGAGCCACATTAAGATCGAAGTTCCTAGGTAACATTTAAGTATATTATCTTGGCAACTTAACTTTATATTCTTGAATTGTAATTCAACTATTTTATGTAGTCCCCAGAAAAAAAAAACGTGGGCCCTAGGCAATGTGACTAATGGACAAGACTGAAATACACCAGAATTCCTATAGAAAGTTATTTTAAATTAACAAATGAATCAGTTGAAAGATTTTCTTGATATTACATGATATAATTTCTTTCCATTCTTCTTTATTTATTTACAAGAATTTGTATTAATTTTAAATTGAAATCAAAACAGAGAATATTTTTTAAATATTATATGTGTACAGTTTAACTATCTTGTAAAAGAGAATGGATGGATTCATTAATGGAATGCACTGCGAAGCTGTAATTGAATGTTCACATTAATCAATTTATTCGCATGTGTTTGTATGTACGTACGCTCTGTAAGTGTGGATGTGTATTTACACGGGTTCGGAAATGTTTGAGCAAAGGCAATTAACGCGACACGCGATATACAATAAAAACACTATATGTGATTTAATTGAACATTTCTGGAAACACGTTGAAAATACACAGGAAAATAAAATTCATTTGTTAATAATAATACTATAACATATGCATATATTTTCATAAAATTCTAAATTACAAAATACAGTAGAATCTCGCATAACTAGCATTTTGCTTAACGAGCAAAATTAATTCTAAGAAAAATGACTCGCTTAACATGCGACGTTTCGCATAACGATTAACGATGAGAAGAGAAATCGCGGATTCCGTGCCTGCTATATCACTTATGTACATATATTATGTGTATTTATGAATGTGTTTCACTATACGAATAAAAATCCGGAAATTTTGGAGCAGATTAAACTCGTTAAGCGAGGTTCCACTATACTATGTTTCTTGATCAAATGTTCTGACAAGAAAATCATTAAATATTATTTTTATTGATTTATCTTGAAAACAAAATACAGCAATAGTCCTGGTAATTGGTTTCCGGACTGTTTGAAACCGGACTAATAGAATTTTATAAAAAAATATTTTTTTACAATTTAATTATTATTTTGCTCAATTAAAATTTGTTTTGAAATGTTCTAACCGGATTATAGGGTACCAAAGCTGCACTATGCCTGGTATTGATGTACATAAAGCTACTAAATAATTTAATTCTACAAAAATAATTATAAAGTTATAATGAAGATTTCGAAATACATAATTAACTATTATATATTTTGAAACTCTCGAAACGTTCTACTTGTTATAACTTACACAAATTTCAAAATAATTAAAACTAATCAATAAAATAATTGTCCTCCTTCAATAAAATGAATGTAATAAGTATTTAATAAAAAACAAAACATTTATATTAAACAATATATAGAAATATTTTGCATAGAACGGTTTCTATTAGTCAGAATTCATAACAAACTAAATTTTGAATTCACACAATAAATTCTAAAATATTAATAAACAAAAATATTTTTATACATAAATTATTGTGTTTTGCCTTTAAACAGTCAATTCTTATTTTGTGCAGCTTATTTTTATACGGTTTTAAAGTCCTGGATTAGTACGGTTTCAAACACTCCTGTATATATCCGAAAACCGCAATACTATTCAAGGTATTACTCTATTTGACTGTATATTACAATTATATTACATTGAATGAACAATAAATACATGTTAAATTTACTATCTTCGAGAAAGTTAATAACCCATCCCAAATTTAATTGGTTTTGTATCAAAGTTTGCTCACTTCATTTTTCATGCACGTCACTTATTGCATCGAAAACAAATTTGATGCTACAGGTGTCTGACAAACATTGAATACTATCCATTACATAAAATAATTGACTTGGAAGGATGCCAGCTTAGTAACTTTAGAATTCCCAGTGCATTTAATTTATTTTCAACCATAAATAGCTAGATAATGAAATGAAGTGGCAGTGTAATTACATTGCTTTGTTATTAAATAATGATTCTTTTAAAATATAAACGCTTTAATAAATATTATTTAACTTTTATATAAATATAAAAAATTCTAGAAATTTGCTAGTAGTAAATAAATAATTTATAAAACTTTACGTCTTGAATGCAATAGAAAATATCAATGTTTGTGATTTATAACTATAGGATTAATTATATTCACTAGTAAAGAAAAACTTAAAAAAAAGAGATAAATTGATATAATACATATATGAATACTTTGTCATTTATTTTATATAATAATAAAACAGATAAAAATAATAGTAAAAAAAATATATTAACTGATATTATGTATCTCAAAAAAATTATATAAAACAAAATATTATAATATTCATAATGTTATTATTTCAATCTATACTCTCTTAACTTTATATGAGTTTATATGTTATTTTTGAAGTGTATGCAAATGTTAACAATTAACGATCGGTAAAAAGATAAAGTCAAATTTATAAAAATATAAATTATTTTTTATATTACCTAATGAAAATAATTGGTGTATGAGTATATAAATCCAATTAGTTATTAACATCATATGAGTATATGTTGTTCTTGAAGTGTATTTAACAGGTACGAGATGAGAAACTATAAAGTTTCATGAAAAATCATTTTTGCGAGCGCATAGCTTCACAGTTTTGTTCGAGAGCGAATATGAAATTAGTAAAGTTTTCCAGTAACACGGGAATAGAAATTTCAATTGATTGCGCCCTGAGACGCTGTAAGATAAGACTTAAGCCATACAAAAGTCGTGAAATGAGGATGCACCGATTTTCCATGACAACGCAGAAATGAAGATTCTCCACAAAATGGAGAGATAATCATAGGGAAAACTATATAGCATTCATCGAAAGATGTAAAATAAGTTGCAAGATTTTATTTTATAACTGCTTTTTCAAACTTTAAAAGAAAATTAGGATTTTCGATTCAAATTTATGTCATAATTATTTATAAATTTCTAATTTAATTATCTAATAATCTATTATTTTTTTTAAAATTATTTTACATAATAATGCTGCTTTTTAAAGTTTCTTCCAAACTGTTTTTCAGATTTATAAATTATGCATATTTGTCATTATTTTTAATAATTAATCTTTAAAAACATAATAATAATAAGATAATTAAAATATTTAAAACTTATTTTCAGTCAGTAATCAAAAAAAGGTTCATTTAAATTAATAGTCTTGTGGCTTAGGCTTAGTAGAGCCTTCCATTGGAATTTACTATAGGTGTTTAGCTTTTGATATATAAGTTATATAATAATTAATTATTGATCCAGGTTCGTGTGATGGTACCTGGGGCTGAGCGCAAGCTGCGAGAACATCAAAGGCTTGCCGGAGAATACATGGAACGACACCTCAGTCCCCAAACGAGACAACAATACGACCCAATCTGCACGGAGAGACCCAAATACGAAGCTGAGTGCGGTCCACTTCTAAACAAGACACCACCAGATGTCTGCACCACCAACAAATGCATCGAGTTTGCTTCCGCCGGAAATATCAGCGGTACCCTGATTCCAGGTGTCATCGAGCAGAGTGGTTTCGCAGCTGGACCGGTTGTCACATGTACTTCAACCACTGCCCAACAAACCACACCAGGCCTCGCTGGACAAACTGTACCCATCACCATCAAGAGCCATCACCATCATCACCACCATCCGCACCATCATCTTCCGCCGTACCCTGCGAACTTCTCCTCCAACAAGTACGGAACGATGCCTCATCCGGGGACCACACTTCATCAAGGCTTCCTTGGAGTCTCCGAGGTCGGAAGCTCCAGCTCTAACAGTTCGAGCAGCTACTGTTCTAAAAGCAAAACGCTGCAGCATCAAAGGCCTCGCAAAAAGTGCGTCAAGATCGAGACTTTCCAAACGCCGGAGACCGGATTTGCAGACTTCTCGAGTAAACGGTCGAGCGCTATCGCGTACTCTGGAAGTGCGGTATGACACGGGAAACACGTGCCATCAAAGTATGAAGAAAGTCCAGATAGGGAACTGGATCTGCATCAGCTCGTTTGAAGTAAAACCGGCGTGAAAACTGGAAAAAACGGCTCAGAATTTAATCCACACCCTGTCCAGAATTTATTTTATTAATGTTGATATAATATGAAGAAGAAAAAAAAATAGTACATGATAATAACTAAAATATATAAATAAACGAATAAAGAAAACAATATCGCCCTGGCGTGGTGTGCTTCTACTAAAGTTATGATGAAAGTAAACGAAGAACAGTTTTCGTACCTCTTAAAAAGACAAATCAAATTAATCATATCGTAAACAAAAAAAAACAAGTAAATAAGAAATAAATGTTAATTAATGTAATACTATGTTCGACGTTTTTTCTCCATTGCTTTATATACCATATATATATTAACAAAAAATATAATAATAATATAAATAATGACTTTGTAATTGCTGTGATATTGAGATTGAATTAAATATGATTATGATTATCTCTCCCCCAAACCCAATTATCTTTAACCGACGCGTGAAAATGATATGAATAATTAGCAAAGGAAGATAGACACTGAGTGGATACATGAAAGGTTTGTGATTTGTTACAGATATATCCGTTTTTGTTAAGGAATAAATAATAAATTGAAATAAATCCCGTTTCTCGTTTCAACTTCTTCGTCCATTACTTTTTCATTTTTCTCGTTCACTCTCTCTCGTTCGTTCATTCCTTTCTCTTGTTGCATCGTTGTTTTTATTTGCTCATCGATTCTTCGATGCGGAAATTTACTATTGTTTTCCAGCCATATTTCTCCGCAGTGCACATATAAACACAATTTCTATTTTGCCCTTGCAATTTATAACGCACTGCAACACACAACAAATTCCAAAACTCCCCAAGAACCGCCCGCTGACTCTTCGTAATATTCCAACCTCATACTGCTTTGTCCTATCTCATCCATACCTTCTACCAGGAACAAATAATATAATAAAATATACCTTTACAAAACATAACAAATATTTAACTTGAATTAAATGAGAAATAAATATATGTCAGGTGTTCCAACTACTTCATACAGATTTTTTGAAGATTTATTAGTTTATATTAAATAGTTAATGTTTTTCTATAATTAAGATTTATCTTACATTTCAATAATTATATCAAACAATTTTCAATTAAAACCTGTTTTCTGCAGAAGACTTTACAAAAAACTGTTCTCATCTAAAGGATCCACTAGGTAAGTGCTTCGATAATTTTAAATTTTAATTCTATTACAAACATTTATTTATTTAAAATTTTATTTCAAAATGTTTTTATAATTATAATGTATATATCGATATTGTTGCGAAACAATTTTCATTCAAGAAACATTCCCAACAGAAAACTGTTTACAGAAAAAAAACTTTCCCATCTGCCTTAATCATATGAGGGGATCCAGTAGGTAAGTGCTTCGATAACTTTTTCCCTTTTTCTTCTTTCGCTTTCCAGTTTCAACGCAATCATTATAAAAATCAGAGAGTTTTTTGGAATAAGTTTAATAACATTAGGAAATTGCATTTGGTATATATATACAAGTATATCTGAATTGTTTTTTTTTCTTTTCGTCCTTTTTATTTCTCTTTCAGTATTCTGTTTCCATTTGTACATGAGAATCCAGATTGGGGCTGCTCTCAATAATTGCATGCCAGTGGCTACACAAGTCGCAGAAAGCCGTCTTTATCTGACTCCGCTTCATTTTAGGAAGATGTCATATCTTGATGCGCTCGGTATGTTTCCTCTCCTCGTTCGTCCTTTTCATATATACATGGAATATATAAAAAGAGGTAATAGCTTTTCCCTTCTCCTCCTTCTTTTATGAGTGCGTGCGGTATGTATCTCTTCATTTAATCGAAATAAAATATTTGCGCATCAGATTCGCTTTTCTCTTTCTGCTGCATATTGATCGATCAACGTTCTTTCATACATTTTAAAATAAGCAAATATGATTGCATCAATAAAAATTTCAGAAGTTATTTATTATTATTTACAACATAAAAAAAGTAAAATAAGTTATAACTAATAATATATTGACACATAATTTCTAATAACAAGATTATCTTCTATTGTTTCTTAATATGCATATAATCCTCATCCACTACTAATAATTTTGCTCCAAACTACGAATAATTTTACTCATCTCCGCGTCGCCTTTTCCAAATTCATTCATGCATACATTACATACACTCAGTAACTTTATTCGGCTGCATCCAATTCAAACACTTACAAACCTTGGTCCAGTGCATCCACAAGTTTCATCCACTCATCTATATTCCATGTGCTTCTCATATTAATCTACTACCAACTAATATTTTTTTGTCACATCATCATAGCTATCAACCAATTTAAGGATTTAGTTCAACAATTATTATTTGTAAATATTAAAAATAATAACAAACAAAGACATAAAATTCTTAACGCATAATTATTATTAATTTATAATAATATATAAATATAGTTTTATACGAATATTTAAAGGTTGATTTTTTTTTATTCGCACTAATTTTAAGCAAAAAGTTAAATACAATATTTTAAATATTTCAATTAATACACGTTTATTAATAAATATAGCATGAAATTTAATTGATTAGGATGATAACAATAGACGACATATATGTCTTTTTCCAAATTGACAAAGATTACCAATTTACTACAAAAGTTTCTATAAATTTTTCTATAATCAACGTTTGACAAGATTTTAATTGGACATTGCCCATAGCCAATTATCCTTTACTTATTTTTTATTTGTTGAATTTGAATGCTAGATCAGTGGCGTGTGTCGCTGCAGTCGCTGTGTTGTTAGACTATTGTCCAGAAGATTGACAGCTAGTACCTTGGTATTGGCTACTGTTTTGTCTCATGAATTCTCCTGTTCGTAATATACCATGGAGTACCAATGATTCTTCTTAGGTTCTTCGAATGAAATCTTTGTATGGTCGTAATATTAGATCTGCTGACTCCCCATAGCTGTATTCCGTATGTCCAGACAGGTTTTAAAATTACTTTGTAGATAAGTAATTTCGAAATTTCCGAGTCTTTCCGTAATAGCCAGTAGAGTTTCCTGAACTTAATTTCGAGTAGTTCTCTTTTTGCTTGTATGTGATTCTTATTACCCGCCGGTATTATTTTTCCATTTAGAGTCACTGGTAGACAGGAATGCTATCTCATGGTAAAGGTGACGTAAATTTAACTAATCACAATTTCTTATTGGTCGTTAGAAATTACAAAAGGCTATTGGTATATAATATAAAATCACTATTTATTAATTCATAACACATACATATCAATAATATATCTATTAACTTTATTTTATTTCCATGCACTGTAAATAATGGTTCATATTACTTATATTATGTTGCTTTTTGTGAAATGTAATAAAAATAATATGTTGCTTAAATTGAATTTCAGAATAATTTATTGTTGTAGTTATCATCTATGGTAGAATAAAATGAGTATATTTATATTTGACGTGGAATTTAATATTTTTGTAGAGAATTTCGTCGGTCCTTTACAGTATTCCGCGGGCCACCGAAATAAAATGTAGTTCTACTATATATTGTTATATATTGTGGGGCTCCTTTGTCGAGGCACTTGTGTTTCGGGTGGGTAGAATGGATGAAAGGCAACGGAGGAAGTCCTTTATAGTTTTAGCCGTAAATATTTTTTATCGATGCGAACGAAGGTGGGAGTGGTAAAGCTGTAAAGAGTGCGTATCCTGATCTCGTGAATGAGAGGGTGGATGTACAGGAAACCCCGGTTAGGGTTAGGTAGGCTAAGAAGTGCCCCGTCCGATAAACGGGGAAATTAAATTTAAACTTGGGTCTGGTTGGGTTGGTTGCTGCTCGAACATAATTTACGGATGCGAATAAATCCACTTTTACGGCATTAAACATTGTTGTGCAATGCGGCGATCCAATTCCTAGGGGCTAATTTCTTGCGATGCATCAGCAGGAGTAGAGGAAAGGTCCCAAACCATGTAGACTGTAGAGTCTAGAATCTAGATTCTAGAGTTAGTGCCGGTTTGCTGCTGGGGCGGTGTGTGGCCTCGTGTGGTGTGAAATGATAAATCGGATCCGGGGTTGTGCCGGACCGAGACCACAGATTCTTGTTTCTGTTTTAGTAATTAAAACAAATGGCCGCACTGTGACTGAGTCCATGTGTGTGTGTGTCTGTTTGTATACGTATATATGCATTTACATATATGTATACGCGTGTGTGCGAGTGTGTGTGTACGGACTATCCGTTGTCGCCCGGAGCTGCTTCGGGACCGGAACCCGGAATAGCTCTTGCGAATCAGGCCACAGGAATTAATGTCTCTCATATGTAACTGTGGGACGTTATTACATTTTTTTCTTCTTCCACTCTTTCTCTCTTTCAGTCCATTTTCCACTGGCGCAAATCTGAATTGAGATCCTCTCGCGCGCACACTCACACACATATTGAGGTACGGTGTCGCCACCGTAAAATCTAATTAATATAATTTCGTGCACTCAAGCCATTAACGGCGCCAGAAAATAAAAATCGCGGTATTTGTAGCAGAAACATAATAGTTACATTTTATCATTATTACATATACGTATGGCATTCAGTAAACGCATCAGAAACATCAGAACTTTTTAGCAATTCCAGTCCAAGAAATATTACATTTACATCAAGAGAATTAGATTTGACTGGAGAAGACATTATCACATTTCTTCAAGAAATATTAAGAATGACAAATTTAATTACTTACAATTTCATTGCATTTTTTTTAATTTTTAAAAACTCTTAAGTATTATAAAATAAAGTTTATTCAAAAATGAATTATCAATTCCAAACTAACTTGCTTATGATCTTTACATTATATTTAGATAGATATTTTAAATATAATGTTATAATATAGATTATATATAAATATTGTACAACATAATAAAATGTTTATGTTTATATTCAGTAAACGCATATTGACATCAGAACTTTTTAGCAAATTTAAACCCAAGAAATTTATATTAACCCATTTTTGTCCACTGTACCCAAGCAGGTACAGAAATATTTATTTTGATTTTTCGGCAATATAGTGAGAAGTAGCTAAAACTTGTAGTTGTATATTTGTTTATTAATATGTAGAATAATATACTATAACCATAAAAGTAAGACATTTACTCTGCACTTGATGAAAACTTGGACCGAAAAGGGCTTTAGGGAACAACAAAAATTAAAGAGAAGAGAACATAGAAGTGTCTGTTACAATTCTCAAAGATATTATCAAAATAATTGAGAAGTACTTTTGATTTTCAATTTGATAAAATCAATGATTTATGTTATGTGTTCAAAAATTATAACAAGAAAAAGGGAGAAGTTGATCTAAGTGATCAGTCTGTACACACTTATTATATGTACATACTTATTCAAGGCAAAATTATGGTAGGTGCTTTTTACCTATATACCAATACCGAAAATGGACTTTATCTGTGTATGTTTAATCTCAAAATTGATAAATTTTTCAAGTTTTATTGAGTCGGTCAGTTAATATTAAAAGTATAAATGCAAATAGAAATCGACATTTCAACTATTGTTTTAGTAGTCCCATAAAACACACATAATTGTATATAAAATTGGGTATATATTTTCTCTACAT